AACAAACAAACAAACAAACAAACAAACAAACAAACAAACAAACAAACAAACAAACAAACAAACAAACAAACAAACAAACAAACAAACAAACAAACGAACAAACAAACCATTCGATCACACAGAACAATGTCCAAACCATGGAAGATTTGTCGACAATGCGCGGAACAAATCAAATGATACGCGAACTGGTCGAAGCCTCGTGGGAAACATCCGACCTTCCCGACATGTTGCTCATGGATTTCGGTGCCTGGGTAGACCAGCTCACCGAATTGAATGCGCGGTTGGCGGGAATGGATACGCAATCGAATGCCAATTACACGCTCGAGAGGTTAGGGTGCGCAAAGTTTTCCCCCTCCATTGCCCTGTCGTGTGCAGAAGCCGTGAAACCCGATTCGTGCAAGTGCACACGAAACGTGGTGAGCAGAGACGGAATGCACTGGTGCATGGAAACGATCGGTGGAAGGGTCACCGCGGGGTTTGCCTGTTTGATACAGTGTTCGCTGTCAATCGAGGGAGACAAGAAGTCTCGTTTCCGTTCGTGCCAGCAAAGCTGCAACGAACAATTCATGAGTCTCCGGAAGGCATCCTCGTTGCTCACCAATCATTCTGTATCAGGCGGGGCCCTTGGATGAGTCGATGATAGTGGCAATGCAAGGTACCACCCAGCGGAGAATTGTTAACGGAAAACGTTGGCCGGCCAGCAGACTGGGTCAAAACCGAGCATTCTTCACCGAACGCTTTCGTGAGGTAGCCTTCGATATCTTGGTCTCTGTGTTTGCCATTGGGCCTCGAGGTCTTTGATGAAATTCAATGCGGTGGACGGAACAGTACATTTTACAAGTAGTGCCGAACAGCATGATCAGGGTGGCGCAGAGACCGGGCATCACAGTAGGGGCGCAAAATCACGAAAACTAAAAATCAGGTCATTTTTAAAGTAAAACCTGGTTCAATTCTTGCTCTATCATCGATTCATACATTTTTTTATCGTCTCGTGCAAAGATTTCTTTTCTGAGTGACACTGATACCAAAATCTTAAACCCATGTGTAAATATATTGTGTTAGCTTTGACCCTGAAAAGAGAGAAGAGGAACGACCAGTCTCTGTATTGACCTAATACAAATAGAATGCCGTCGGTGCTCTTACGTACTATCCAGTACAAGAATTGTGGTGATCGACACCATTCAAACTCGACTTTGTGAAGGTGCTTGTACTATTAGAGTATGGATACGCATTTTTACTTACCCCCATGAAGAGAGTTATCCCATTTTCCATTTTTAATTTACTTGGCTGCAAGGATTTCCCAATCAGACGGGCTATCGATTAGGACTATCAATGGTAAGCTTCCGTACTGGCAAGTTATTGACAATTTCCCGGCTGTCAATTTTTTCATTTTCCCGTTTTCATTTCCCCTCTCCCCCCCTCCACACAAAAAAACTAGTCCCAAAATATTTTTATTGCTGGTCCTTACAAGTACTGGGGGTACAATACGGTATGAGTGGTTACTCAGGGTAAACCTCCCTCAGAAAATTGTTTTGCTTCGCGTACACTCACAGCGGCGCACCCAATCGGGTCAAACTCATTCCAAAGATATAGTATGTGTGCATCGGTTTTTTGGCTTCTGTCACGACGTTATGGACAATCTAAGGAACCCAGGAAGAACAGAAAAGTAGCATGTACAGCGTGTTGAATCTGTTGCTGTAGAAATAATGGAGGCAACTTCCCGTCAAAGCAACCCAAAATCAAATGTGCAACATGGTTATTTGTCGCCGCAGTAATTCAGCAGAAGCCCCTCCGTTACTAGCATTCCGAGCCTGTATGATCATTTGTATTTCATTTCAATCACGCAAAAGATCAATAGTTTCAAGAAGGCCACACTAGCAAATGTCGTAAATAAAGGTTACATAGCCAAACAGAAATAGACATGAACCAGACAAAGAAGACCATCTATGACTGCCTGCCATCCGATGCATAGTATAGAAACAAGGACCGAAGCAGATTGGGATTGAGTGTGCAAAAGCTGCCTTAGCAGTAGCACTATTTGAGAGAGACATATTGTCATCGTGTAGAACGAGTAGTTCACGGCCTTTCCTGCCGTTGTTTCCCAGTCAATGCGGATGGCAGTACTGTTAACATGAGCTCTAAAGTCGCAATTTGGTGATACCATCATTCAGTTGAATGCCATGACCCATACCTGCTCCATGTTGGCTCTTTTCTGTACGTTCGAGATAGAAGACCTCTTGCCCTCTTGACTTGTTCTTTGTGGGGTCAAGATTGAAACATCCATAAAGTTCGTCCCGTAGTTTTGATCTATATTGTTGTGTTCTATGTCCTTACTCATCAGCTTTTGCCATTGACCAATGGTCCATTTTTCTTCTTGTACATCCAAATTGATCTCGAATTCACAACTTCAAGCGTTGATCTCTAATGACTGTTCTTGCTGAGAGATGGAAACTACACGCCACTGTTGCAGAGATTTCTCTTCGTCGTCCCACACGAAGGGAAATGGTATTACGTGATTCGAATGAAAGTTTTCATTTTCAGGAGGTTTCCTGCTGCTGTTCTCATTTTCGAAAATGTTCTTTGTCGAGGCATATTGTGAAGCAGCGTTTTCTTCCAGACGTCGTGGTTTCTCAGTTTCCCCCGTCATTTGCGTTGTACCAATATTGCTTCCATGTTCATTCAAACCCATCCGTTCCAGCAATTGATACTCCTTATGGAGGTATTGAAATACCTCCTCTTCCGAAACCAAAAAGTCAACAAATTTTTTCATCGCATCTTTCAAATCATCCGTAGGTGTTTCTGCATTGGATATGGGAACGCCCCCGAGAAGTTCCTTCAGTGGATCGCGAACCAAGAGAACGGCCTCGTTGTTGGAAGGCGAGGCCACAAAGACCTTCACGTACGAACCATTCGGTTGTTCCAAAACGAGATCTTTGAGGATTTGTTTGTAAAAAGCTCTCGTTTGTATGTTTTTTCGTTCCTCGGCCCAAGTCCATATATCTTGATTGTAATCTTTTCCGCCATTCTTTTCG